CCGCCCCTTTTCCCTCACAGTCCCTGTGTATCTTTAACCCCGCCCCTTTCATTCGTACTGAGCCCCTGTGTTCACCACGCCCCTTTCCCCTCCATCCCAGGGCGCGTTCCTCTCGCGCATGCTCAGAAGACTCGGCGGTGCCTTCCGATCGTCGCCATTTTCGCTCCCTCTCTAGCGGCCCGGCTTCAGCATGTCCGAGAGCTACGGTGGGGCTGGAGAGGATCTATAGGGGATCTGTAGGGGACTGGGGGGAGGGCTGAGGGTCTCTATAGATCAGTTGGGTTTTTCTGTAGGGGATTTGAGGGGCTCTGGGGGGTCCCTAAAGGGTATCTGGGAGGTATATAAGGGAAATATAAGGAGACTAGGGGGGGTCTGAGGGACTCTATAGATGCTTTGTATTTGTCTATAGCGGATTTGTGGGGTCCCTAAAGGGAGTCTGTGAGGTCTGTAGGGGACTGCGAAGGCTTTACGGCGCTGGGGGTGTCTGGGGGTCTGTATAAGGGATTTGGGCTTGTCTGTAGGGAATTTCGGGGGCTTTGCGGGGTCCCTAAAGGCTGTCTGGAAGGTCTATAAGGGATCTATAGGGGACTGGGGGGTCTGCGGGTCTCTATAGATGATTTGTGTTTGTTTATAGTGGATTTGGGGGGGCTCTGCGGCGTCGTTAAAGGCGGTCTGGGAGGTCTATAGGGAATCTTTAAGGGATCTATAGGAGACTGGGCGGGTCTGAGGGAGTCGATAGAAGATTTGGGCTTGTCTATAGGGGATTTGAGGGCATCCGGGGGATCCCTAAAGAGTGTCTGGGAGGTCTATAGGGGATCTGTAGGGGACTGGGGGGGGGATTCTGGGGGTCTGTATAGGGGATTTGGGCTTGCCCATAGGGAATTTGGGTAGCTCTGGGGCGTCCCTAAATGGGGTCTGGGAGGTCTATAGGGAATCTGTAGGGGACTGGGGGGTTCTGAGGGTCTCTATAGAAGATTTGGGCTTGTCTATAGTGGATTTTTGGGGTCGCTAACGGGGGATTGTGAGGTCTATAGGGAGTCTATAGGGGTCTGGGGTGGCTTTATGGCCTTGGGGGGGTTTCTGGGGGTCTGTATAAGGGATTTGGGCTTGTCTGTAGGGGATCTGGGGGCCTCTGGGGCATCCCTAAAGGGGGTCTGGGAGGACTGTAGGGCATCTATAGGGGACTGGGAGGGGTCTCAGGGTCTCTATAGAGGATTTAGGTTTGTCTATAGGGGATTTTGGGGGCTCTGGGGAGGTCCCAAAAAGGGAGTTCTACAGGGGTTCTATAGCGGCCTGGTAGAGCTTATAGAGGGTCCAGAGGGGCTTCATGGTCTCTATAGGGGAATTCTGGGATACTGATAGGGAATTTCTGGGAAATATTGGGCTCTGTCCATGGAATTCTTCAGCTCCCTATAGGAATGTATATGGTTCCTATTGAGAATTTTGGGGAACTTTGGGGTCCTTAAAGGGAATCTGGAAGTGTCTTGGGAATTTTGGGGTCCTTATAAAAAATTTATGGGTGATTAAAGGGAATTTTGTAGCTCCTATAGGGAATTTTTGGACCAATATTGAGAATTTTGAGAACTGTGGGGTCTCTACCAGGAATTTTTTTTAAATATTGGGTCCAAACATGGGATTTTTTAGGTCTCTTTTTGGAAGTTTTAAAATATTGGGGCCTTCAACTGGAATTTTGGAGGATACCATAAGGAATTTTCAGAATTTTTGGGGTCCTTGTAGAGAAAGTTGTGTCTCAACACAGAAAGTTTGGGTTCTCTATAGGAAATGTTTGGGATCTCTGTAGGGAATATTTGGGTCCAAATGGGGGAATTTGAGGGGAGAATTTTGGGTAACAGTGAACAGCTGGCATGAAACCTATGGGACTCAGTGGTATAATTTTAGGGTGATTTTAGGTCCCTTTAGGTGGGTTTCAGAGCAGTTTGGGTGTGTTTAGGCACATTTTGGTGATTTTATGAAAAACCAGGCAATTTCAAGGTACATTTCACTCACATTTGAGAGATTGAAGAGTGGTTTTGGACCATTTTGTGTGGATTTTAAACCACCTTGAGCAAATTTAGACAGCTTTAGTTCTATTTTAACCGCATTTGGCTGAATTTAGGCCGAACTATCAGGATATAGAGTGGATTGTAGGAGCTTTGCCTGATTTTAGGCCAAAACGAATTGGTTTTAAGGAGGATTTTAGACTGCTTTGGACAATGCTAGGCCCATTTGGGTGATTTAAGAGCCAATTGTGTGTATGTGAGGCCCATTTGGGGGACTTTAGGCCAAATCTGGTGGATTTAGTCTGCTTTTGAGGCCAGTTTTGGTGATTTTAGGCCAAACTAGAGCCTTTTAGAACTGCGCGTCCCTTTGGCCCCGCCCCTTTCCCCTCACAGTTCCCGCCCTTTCCTTGACCCCGCCCCTTTCCCCTCACAGTTCCCGCCCTTTCCTTGCCCCATCCCCTCCCAG